TAATCGTTCCTCAAAGTGTGGGATAGGCCTATAGGTCAGTTTGATCCCCTATAGTGAGGGATAGACTTATGTGGCTTGTGTGTTAGCCCCCGTAATGAGGGTTTGGATGATTGAGATTATTTGAATATACATATTTGTATTTTCATTGATATATATATTGAGATTTAATAATTATCCCACTTGACATCTCACGAGCACATGTTAGTATGTATGATGAGTTGGAAAGTTGGTTACTGAGACGTTTGTCTCACCCCGTGGTTTTTACTATCTTCAGGTGATAGTTCAGGTGGTGGCCCATCAGAGAAGGCTCCGGAGGCATAGTGTGCTGTTGTAGCTTGTATAGCCTCCCTGCTTTTGTTTTATGTGTTGACTTGTTATATATTGCCACATAGGGCCCATATACTCTAATGTTGTAAACTAATACTTTTAATTACTGCTATCTGAGATGGGAGGTCATTGGAAGGCCAGAGATATTTAAGACTTTGCGTATTACACTCATTTGATAGTGTTGACTTTTGACTAATAAGCTCTATGACTTATATTAAAATGTTTTATCAATTCGTGTGTTTGAAAGTGTAAGTTTGGTTTGGACTAACGGTTGAATGATATTTCTGGACTTTGAAAGTCCAAGGCCCAAGTGAACGATTGATGTGGCTCATAATATAAGTTTATTTCTTTTAACCATGATAGCGATTTTAAAATTTTAAGATTTCTTCTTTTTTATCATGTTTAATCATTCGAATAGATTGAAAATTTGGATCTAAATGGGTTTTAAAAGAACGGTTGTCACACTAAACATATTCAAAATAGACTTTAAAACCATGCACTTTTTTCATTGAGCTCTTATGAAAAAAAAGTGCATCATAGCCAAAAACAATGAGATCGAATTGGTCATCCTCTAGTCTTAAGCCTTTTAATTCACGATTACACACGATACTATACCATAGCAGAGAGAACATCTGCCACAATAATAAAAAGGTAAGGAGAGTAAGGATCCTAGTCTAACTTCCCTTTGTGATCAAACAACTTCCTTCGTATCTTCACCAATTGAATATCAACTTTTATAATACAGATTTTAGAATTTTGTAATTTTTTTTTTGAAATGTCTCTATTAAATTATTTTTCATGACTTTTAATAAATGATCAAAATCAGCGGCCAAAAAGGTTTTATTTTACCTTTAAATCCTGGAGGCTTGTTGATAGAAATACTTTTAGGCAAAATACTATCACCATTGCCAGTTATAAGATCTTAGAAAGTTAAGTCCTTTATCAAGAAATTATTTGCTGATACCACTTGGAGAATGAGAAATACTTGTTTTCGAACTTTTGTAGAACCAAAAATAGTTGACTTTCTTTTTGAAAAATATTTTAAAGATTAATTTTCGTGATGTTACCTCAGTCTTATTTCTTGGGACTTGTTTGGCTAATGTAATTGATCTTGGTTTCATGCTTGTTGGTGTTATCGTAATCTTACTCTTAATAATAAAACTTAATAATTAAAATAGTATGCAAAATATAGTATGATACATTATATCTATGTCATACTACTTCCGGTCCTAATTATAAGACCCAGTTGACTTATTTGAGGAGATTAAAAAAGTAAGTTAAGTTAGTTATTTGTAATAAACAAGTGTTGTCATTCCTAAAATATCCTTGTTAATTAAGTATATTGGCTAGAACTATCATTATTAGAAGGACTATCTTGGAAAAAAATACATAAATATGAGAGACAAAATGGATTGGGGTCTTATAATTAGGACCAAACAAAAAGTCAAACAGGATCTTATATTAAGGACCGGAGGTAGTATTAGTTTATATTGATGCACGTAATACTATGTAGACTAATAATCATTAACAATTTGCACAGCAGACACAGAATATTATACGAATATTGATGAAGCTCTTTATTTACATATTTTTATGGGTGGTCAGAGAGTTTTATAACTAAAAATAATATAAAAAGTTGATATGTGTGACCCTTGATATTGTTTTAGTATTTTTAATAATTTCAGGGGCAAAATGGGAAAAAAAGTAAACTTCGGGAAATAAAGAAAGCGCAAGACGGCGAATTAAGGTGCTGGAATTTTTCTCAAATTTTGACGGCTTTAATTACGAAATTGCTTTTGTTGTTTTTGTTGGTTTCTTTGACTTTTATGGTATATATATTAAGTATCTAACAAATTTCTGCTTCCTTCTTTGAATGAAAGGAGTTGTTAAATGATTGCATTTTATTAGAACTTGTTGCACTCATTCAAATTATTCATTGTTTGCATGATTTTGAGTTGTGTCCTTGAGTTTCAATTTGCATTCATCTCATGACTTAAAATTGGAATGATGAAAGTTTTGACCCCCATCCTTCTTTGTTTTCTCATGATCTTTCAAGTAATGATATGAATTATAGGAACCTTTTTCCTACCGCTCAAGAAACCAATGCACTGATTTTCTTCTAAATATTTCGGATGGGATTGTGCCGTCTTAGAAATGAGAATCTCACTGCAACTATGGATAGATAAACAAAGGCTTTGAAGGAGCTTTATGATAAAAAAAAGGAGCATGGGATAGATTGGAAGTTGAAATGGTAACGTATGGATGTCCCAAGGAGTTAGAAAAGGAGGCAAGAGAACTTGAATTTCTCTTCACTGAGTATGAGGACCACATATTATAGGGGCGATCAAGGGGCAAATTTGGAGCACCGTGGCCTCAGGAAAGAAGAAAATCTAGAAGAAGCCCCAAGCACTACTGCACATGAAAGGCAAATCCAATCTCCAATGTCCGTACTTGAGGCACCCACACAAGTGCAAGAAGCGGAACAAGGAGAAACATCTATTCAAGGTGATTTGCCTCCTCCTTTAAGTAATATATCTCTTGTTCTTATGAAAGTTGAAGCATGCATGTGTGCTGGTCTGAATGATGAAATAGAAGAGGACTTCAGTGATGATGAAGTAGATTAGGAAATAATAGTAGAGGCTCCTCGAAGAAGAAACAAGCTTTTTATGGCTTATATTGATATTAACATGGAATAGTAAAAATAATGTTGGTTAACGTTTACATTTTACTTGATTTAGATGCAATTTGTTGAGCTTTGGGCATTTAATGGCGCTGCTGGATGATTTGTTGTGTTTGATGATAATGCATGTACCATTACAAACAAGAAGTCCAGCAAAAAGGTTCATATCAACATAATTCCAAACAAGATGTTCTAATTATATGGTTCTAATATGGAGAATTTTGCTCTCGCTGCACGTTAAAGGATGAGTCAAGGTTGCCGCGTTCAAGATAGAGCATCTCAACATGAAGGACCTAAAACTGCCAAGTTATAAAGATATGTTCTTTTTGGACTAGTGCATTTATGAAAAACAAACTAGGAACTCTTATCTCGTTGAAGAAGCATGGAGAGCTTCTAAAATGCTTAGAATTAATACATGCTAACATATATGCATGGTCCTATATATGCAAATTAAACAAGTCCTTAGGGGGGAGTCATTATCTTTTGTTGTTTACTGATAATTATAGTAGCATAATGAGCGTATTTTCTAGAAAACAAGTAATTTTTTTTTTTTGGGGGAGAAGTTGCAAAGATTTAAGGCTTTGGTGGAGAATCAAAGTGGTTATCCTGTCAAAGTTCTTCACATAGATAGAGGAGGAAAGTTTCTGTCCAATTATTTCAACTTATTCTGTGAAGAAAATGACATCATTATGGAGTTAACTCCTCATACTTTGGAGCAAAATAATGTCTGAGTGGGAGAACTGAACCGTTGCGGGGATGGTAAGAAGCAAGCATGTTACAAGCTAAGTAAGAGAACTCACAAATCAATTTTAGGAGGAAGTTGTAGCAGCACCCTCGTTTACCTGTTGAGTCTCTCAACTAACAAGGGTTGTCATGAATATATAACTCCTCACAAGGCTTGGCATGGAAGGACGCCAGATGAAAACGCAAGTCACTTACAAATTTTTCACTGTGTTGCTTATGCTTTGGTAAATTCACACCTTCGTCAGAAGCTTGATGAAAACATTGAAAGAAGCATTTTTATTGGTTATTATACTACATCCAAAGCAAGTAGCTTGTATATAACCCTCTTGATTGCAATATCTCAATAAAAAAGGGATGTAATGTTTGATGAAAATACAAGGAGTTCACAGTATTTTCCCACACAGCCCAAACATCAAATCCTTAACAATTTCTACATGTTTCCCTCCAGCATATGTTTGAGGAATATAGCATTTTTAGTGAGCATATAAAATTCATGAGTGTTCATTGTATGTTCTATGTGTGATATTATGTCTTGTAACAAATTGTTTAAAAAGAAAGAAAAATGACAGAAAAATACCTATTGAATTTTAAAATGACAAATAGGTAATTTTAATAAGTTTTGACTCGTCAAAATCATTATAAGAGTAGTTAGCATAACTTTTTTTTTTTTTGGGAATTCAACAGCTATTCTTTTTCTTTTGGCCATTTTCTCTAAAATAGCATCTAACTATAAGCTCACTCTCTAAACAGAAGCTAGTTTTTCAACTTAATACCTAGTACTCTATTCACTCCTCTTTTTCATACTTTTTCTGCAACTTCTTTGCATCCTCAAACTCTATGATCTCCAGCTTGAAAATTTCCCATTTTCATATATCCATTTTTATGCAATTATATTATGATGAGTGGATTAAAATCAACAAATACTAGACAATTCCGAGTATTAACTTCCTTGTAGGGTTGCAGTACTTGAGAAATTTTGCTGGGTCAAAGAAGTTAAAGTAATATATCTAAATTTAAATTAAGCAACTAAAATTTCAATTCCCTTCCTCTTTGTTCTCCTCAACACAAAAATATTCTTCAGTATCCAAAGCCACCAGCACGGATGAAATAGAAACTGATGATAGACAGTGACACTTGTAAGCCGCCAATAAAACCTCTTCGCATCGAAATGTGTATGATCTTTATTCAATGTTTATAATTTATAATTATAATAGGAAAATACTTTTCTCTTTTACTTGTAACTTTTTACATGAAAATTCTTAAATGCCCTTCTTCATATAGAAAACCTTAACGTTGCCACACAAAAAATTAGGAAAACATAACATCAACACCACTGTCTGGAACAATGAATCTTGAAGGCTGGCTCTCCAAAATCCAAACCGAAACAATCAGTCTCATAAACTAGAAATGGAGAAGACAAAGGTTGTTGCGCTTTTGGGAGGCCGAAAAGAAGACACAGGTTGTTCTTGCTCGACATCGTTGCCATTGCGTTGGGGTGGCTCTCGATGACGACACTGCCATAGCTTGACCGGAGATTGCCGGCGCAAAAGATTGCTGGCGGCAGGATTGAATGGCACCAGGGGTTGAGGACTTGAGAGAACGAAGCTAGAAGGGGGGGGGTAAAAGCATAATTCTATTGAATTTTTAGAAATCCGTAGGATATATGATGGAAAGTCATTTCCATATATTTTGATGGAATTGGCTTCCACATGGAAACCATTTCCATGTCTCCTCAGCTGTACCAAAAACACCTAAAGCCATCTAATTTAACTCCATTTCCATTTTCATGAACCTAATTCCAATGTACCAAACGGGGAATTATAGATTAAATATGAAAACAAACCAGAAAATCAAAAGAAAGATGCATGTTTAACTATACAATTATCACAAGCTTAATGTAACTATCTTTCACAAGATTCCAGGTCAGATAGCTTCACGAGATTATTGTTTGAGGATACTGAACTTCATTATCACCAAATTTAGAGAGATAGTAGAAAAGGGAGAAATCTTTCCAGAATCTGTACCTTCTTCAACAGAGCATTTTCACAATATTTTCTTGCGCAGCTCAACATCATCAAATAATTAACAACCTGTCTATGTTTCCCTCCAGCATATGTTTGAGGAATAGCATCGCCAGCATACAGAAAAAGTCATATATAAAGTTAAAATTGTTAAAATTAACTCTAAAATAATAAAATGTCAGCATTAATTTCAATCACCTACCTCTCTGTTCTTCTCAATCCAAACATATCCTATAGTATCCAAAGGCTCCAGCAGAGAAGCGTGTGAAACAGAACTTCATGATTATTATCATGTAGAAGCATCTTCCAGATGGTGGCTCTTGTAAGCCTCCAGTAAAGCCTCTTCATTATCGCTAAACTTGGAAATATACTTCTCCAAGAATTTCTCCTCCCGCAATTTTAGCACCGCAAAAAAACTTGGATTCTTCTCAAGTAAATTTTTTGAGATCAGCAGTTGCTGTACCCTCCATCGAGGGATCACCCTTTTCTCCAAGCTTAACATCAAAATCACAGGGTTATTAATCAGTACTGACTTAGGCAGCATAATTTTATTCAAGAACACTTCAATTTTAAACTTCAGCCTCTTCTCAGATCTGTCAAGCAATGCTGGAGTTCTTGTAAACATTTGCATGGTCTCATCTTTAGAAAACCCACAATTCTGAATCATTTCCAACTTTCTGTCGAACTTAACAATGTTCATACCACTAATTGTCCGAAGCCCATGTACCAACATTCCTGAGTTTATGGAGAAACCCATGTTTACAGCCCGTGAAACATAGTTTCGAACCAGGGACTCCGGTGCAGAAAAAAGAAAAGGTTGCCGTGACAGTAACATTGAAAGATGAGATCCAACGATCCCACAACTCTCCAAGAAAGCAGCATTGTTCAAAATTCTTTGGTGATTTGCCATTTTCCAGGACCCAGACCTGCAAAGAACTCTAAAAAAATCTTCCTTATTGTAGGCAATTTTCCTAAGAGTCTCCAGAAGGGGAACCAATTTCTCATTCAAACCATAAGTCAAAAGAAGTGAATTCTTGGAAAGAAGCTCACCCAGCTCAGATCCCTCAAACCCTTGAAGCTGAAGAAAGTCAATTTTCGGCTTCAAGGTTTTACCAATTCGTGAGAACAGTAACTGGGGTCGACGACTAATCAAAGATTGAATCTGGGACTCAGAAAATCCAATCTGTTTAAAATAATTAAGCACGGACGAGGGATTGCGAGGGCACCTAGTCTTAGTCAGTTGCTTTGAGATATAGATGGACTGAACTTCGGAGAATTTGAAGTTGCTGTTTAGGTAATCAATGATGGGAATGTGTTCGGGTGAGGCTTGAGTATAGGGAGAAACAATAGTAGAGAACAGAGAGAGAAAGGATCTGGACAAATTGCTCAGAGAATATGGAAGAGTGGGTTTTAATTTGAGGAAATGCATTGCCCTACAACTACGAAGACGCAAACTCCTCAAAAAATACCCTATTTCTCAATTTCGGCTACCTGATTACTCTAAAACAGGTATAAATGGCGAAAAGAAAGAGAAGATCTCTACCCCAATTCACGCGTCGGGCAAACCTGAAAGGGGGTTGGGGATGGAGTTGATAATGCTGCTAGCTTCACTTGCAGTGAGATAAGCCATCGAGCTCGAATTGTGCATATTGGGTAAAAGGAGAGAGGTGATTTGATTGAAGAATGCTTCGATTTAAATAATTGAACAATTTGGCTGACCGTTGGAAAGATTTCCGGTAATATTCGGCAGGGGTGGGCTTCCTTTTTTTTTTTGTTGGGAAAATCACATTAAAAAACTCTTAAAATAATAAAATAAGTATTTGAATAAAAAAATTATTGAAAAAATGACAGTAAAATATCTTGAAAAATACTAAATGACAAATGAAGGTATGTGAATTTTAAATCTAATTCAGGCCCAAGTACCTTTTTGAAATTTTTAAATCTTATAAAATTACACAAATGCCCTTTACTATTTTTTTACTATTTTTTTTAAATACTGCCACCTCAGTATTTCTGGCTACTGGAGCTCCGACGTGGGGAACCTGTCAGCTACTAGCTGCCAGAGCTCTGATGCCGGTGACCCTGCCGACTACTAACCACTGAAGCTACGGCGATATGTTACCAGAACTCCAATGACTGGTCGTCGGAGTTCCGGTAACTACTCTTTCTTATATATTGACTACTCTAATAAAAGCAAACCCCTAATCCTATTTCAAACTTATTATTTTTTAAGAAAAAAGATAATAAAATATCTTAAAATTGCTAAAAGACACATCATTGTAGATAAATTTTAAAATTCCAATTTAGACCCTTAATACTATTTTGAAATTTTTAAATCTTACAAAATTACATAAATGCCCTTTCAGTCTTTTTTTTTTCCTTTTCTTTTAAATATTGCCACCTTATCACCCTTAGCTAGTTTCCAACCATCGGAGTTCTGGCACCACCGACCTAGCCGGTGGCTTGCCACTGGAGCTTTGGCTACATGTACTTTCAAAAATTAAAAAAAAATATTAAATATTGTTAGAATCTAGTGAGTATTTTTTTTAGTTATTTACTACTTTTGCGTAATCAATAATTATACTAAAGTAGTCACCAAAGTTTTGAAAACAAAAGTAGTCAATAATAGTAAGCTAGAATAGTCAATAACTATGTGAAAGTAATTATTGGGAGTAAGGGCAATACTATCATTTTACAGTATTTCAAAATTTCAAAATGGTACAAAGAGTCTGATTTAGGATTTTAAAATTCACTCACTCTAATTTGTTTTTTAGCATTTTTAACGGTATTTTAGTGTCTTTTTTTTCTTTTTTATTGTAGACTTGTAATTTTTTATTTCAGACTTTTTATTTTTTATTACAAATTTGTAATTTCCCATTTCAAACCTATAATTTTTATTTTGGACTTGTTATTTCCTATTGTATACTTATAATCTTATTTCAGACTTGAAAACGTAAACTTGTAATTCTTATTTTAGACTTGTAATTTCTTATTTTACTTTATAATTTTCTATTGCAAACTCCTAAGTTTCTATTTCAGACTTGTTATTTCCTATTGCAAACTTGTAATTTCCTATTTCAGATGTATAATTTTCTAGTTCAAACTTGTAATTTTCTATTCAAGATTTATAATTTCTTATTACAGACTTGTAATTTTTTATTTTAGACCTATTATTTCCTCTTACAAACTTGTGATTCTCTATTTCATATTTGTAATTTTCTATTTAGACTTATAATTTTCCTATTTTTCATATTTCAAGCTTATAATTTCCTATTTTAGACTTGATATTTCTTATTACAAGCTTATAATCTCCTATTTTAGACTTCTTATTTTCTATTGCATATTTAAATTTTCTATTACATACTCGTTATTTTCTATTATAGACATGTAATTTTCTATTACGAACTTGTAATTTCCTATTTTTTCATACCTATTATTTTCTATTACAGACTTATAATTTTCTGTCTTAGACTTATTACTTTATATTGCAAACCTATAATTTTCTATCTTAGACTTGTTGTTTCCTATTACAGACCTATAATTTTCTATTTTAGACTTGCGCAAAAAGGTATTTTAATTTTTAATGAGTTGTATAGATATATAGATTAAGAACTATTTGTTGGTTAAAATTAAACAGATTAAAAATAATTTTTATAAATTATAAATAGTATAACCCATAATAAAAATGTTTTTGTCAATTTATAAAAGTATATTATAAATTATAAAATGCTTTTTGGTTAATTTACATATCATTATAAATTATAACTATAAATTTCTCCCTCGTGCGATGCATGAATTACATATTTAATTAGATTTAAAATTATAATAAATTACATTATTTGCTGTAGCTCAAGATTTACTGTTTATAGGAGTGTGATTTTTTTATTTATTCAAATAGAAATTGAATTCGAGATGCATAATTTAGAAGGAATAGATGAAAATTTAAAATTATTCATTTATTTCTCCATTTAAACCTCCAATTGACATACTATTTAATTATGATGCTCCACATTTAATGCAATAAACTCAAATTTCCTCTCCATATTCAAATTCAATAATGTCGTACTCGACCCATTTTCCAACGAATTGGGTATTACAAATTTTCAAAAATATGACTGATACTTTTTATGAATTGGCATTATTTTCATAATGTAATTTTCCATAGCAAGTTTAGTATAGAAAATAATAGGTGTTAAAAATCTATATTAACTTAAGTTTTAGTAGAAATTGGCATAATTTTTATAATTTTATTGCCAATGACAAGTCTAGTATAAGAAATAATAAGTATTAAATTTACCGTAACTTAAGTTTTAGTAGAAATTGGCATTACTTCCACAATTTAGTTACCAATGACAAGTTTAATATGAAAAATAACAAGTATTGAAAAGTTATTTGTATTAATTTAAATTTTAGTAGAAACTAGCATTTTTTTCACAATTTAGTTACCAATGATAAATCTAATATTAAAAATAATAAGTGTTGAAAATTTATTTATATTAACTTAAGTTTTAGCAGAAACTAGTATTTTTTTTTTACAATTTAGTTATCAAGAATAAGTCTAGTATGAAAAATAACAAATGTTAAAAAGTTATTTATATTAACTTAAGTTTTAGCTGAAACTAACATTATTTTCACAATCTAGTTGCCAATAACAACTCTAATATGGAAAATAACAAGTGTTAAAAAATTATTTATAATAACTTAAATTTTAGTATAAATTGACATTATTTTCACAATTTAATTATCAATGATAAGTTTAGTGTGAAAAGTAACAAGTGTTAGAAAGTTATTCACAATAATTTAAATTTTAGCAGAAATTTACATGATTTTCATAATCTAGCTGCCAATGACAAGTCTTACATACCAAATAATAAGTTTTAAAAGTCAAATTATAATTTTGGACTAAAAAAATGCAATGATTTTTTGATGCACTTAAGTAAATGTAACATGACAGCATTAAATTCTTCATATTAGACGCGAATAATTAATCTTACAAAACAAAGACATATTAAATAAAAAAGCCAAAAGATATTAGATAGAGGGGATGAATCGTTGTGGCCCTAAAGCGCGGAAGCAGAAAAACACCCGGAACACAAAAAGGGAAAGGCACAGAGCATAACGCAATTTTAGTATGTAGCGGTGGGAATGATGATGATGATAAGCGGGGCAAAGTATTCGTTGCAGTTAGTCTCACAGAGTAAAAACTAAAAAAGAAAGAAGAAAAGCTTGCGACTGATTAGTCTGGCGGTGAAATATTTGGACTTTCTGGTTCTGATTTCTACCTCGCTCGTTGGAACATGGTATGAAGCAAATTCCCATCCCCTTGATGTTAGGCAAGTCTTATCCCAACCTCTAATAACAATGCTTCATTCGATATTTTTGTGTGTTTTATATTGTGTTTCCTGTCTCTAACTCACCTTAAAACCAAATTGTCCCCACAAAAACTCCACAATTGCGATCATCATCAAAAAGTGAAAAGCCCTTTAAGGGCTTTTATTTCTTTATCTTTAATCTATCTGCTTGGCATCCATAGATGCTGTACACGGTTGTCAAAGAATATTCCTCTATGCTTTTTTCATTCTACGAGCATCAAGGATGCAATAACACAAATTGGATGGCATGCCTAACCGCAAGCTATGGTGCTTCAGAGTGAGAGGAAGAATGAGTAAAACATCCTTCCATTTATTCTTTTTAGTATACGTCCGGAAGTTTACAATTCAAACGGATTGTGAAATAAGTCTAAAGATTGAACAATTTAAAATTTGATTGTCGGGTTACTATTCACTAGTAAATTTATATTTTTGGTCAAACCTTAAAAATTCATAATTAATTATAGAAAAATCGTATTGAGATGATCCAATCTTTATTTAAAGTTCTTTCAATTCTCTACAAGGAAAAAAATCAAATATGAACTTAACCTTTGTTAATTAGCACAGTTAATTCATAGAAGTTTACTATTTATTTGGTAAAAACTATACTTTCTGGTTTCTCTGTTCTAACTTTAAACAGGCATAACTTTTAGCACATATATTTATTTTAAGTGATCTAGCACTTTTTTTAAAACTTAGGATGTGTGCTTTAAGCATATTAAATTTCATGGACAGATTCCATCGTTTAACTTACTTCCACTTTTTCACAACTTCGTGGTTTATTTAGGGATAAATTATCCCCCTAACTTGTTTTAATAATATTTATATAATTAATTCTTTTCATGCATATCATGATTACATCAATGTAATAACCATTCTCATACATTATCATAGCCAATATATATGCCATTATTATTCTTACACTTTACATAATATTAATGGCATATGTGAACATTGATCATCATATTAAATTATCACAATAACTTATTCAATTCTTCAATTCTTCCCTTCATTCTTGCATTTTCACATATTGTATTATTCTCCCATACTCTTTGTACCTATTAGGGTTGATTAAGAGGGTCAGATAACTACCTAAACATGCATGACAAGCTTGACATTCATAACATGCTTGCTATATGTTTGGAAATCGTCATGCATTTATCATAAAACATATAGGCCTATGGTATACTTTAAGCATATTCACATTCACAA